AAGGGGCGTGGCGTTAATGGGCGGGCGCGGGGAGTGCGGGTGGAGGCGGGGCCTGAGCGAGGGGGTTCTCTTTCTGCCTGGGTGAGTGGAACGTAACTTCAAAAGGAATCCGCCCGAGCCGGCTTGCGCAGTGGGTAGCGCCTGGGCCTGCGTACTGAAGGGTCCCGGGTTCGAATGTACCTCAGTTGCAGGCTAAATCCCCAGCCCTGGTTCTGATCGGGGTGCCTACGGGATGTTTCTCTCTCTGTCTCCCCCCCTCCCTTCCACTCTTATCCTGGGGTGAGGATTAACAAAAGAAAGGAATCCTCCGGCCTGGCCAGTGTGGCTCAGTGGTTGAGCATCGACCAGGAGGTCACGGTTCGATTCCTGGTCTGGACTGGATCCCTAGTAGGGGCCCTGCAGGAGGCAGCCAATCCCGTGTGGCTCAGGAAGGCCCCCCACCCCCGCCAAGATCTTAATAGACTGCTGGTCAGCAGTTTTCCAAGTGTGTCCTTTCAGGGTTGTGGCCTGCACTGATTGGTTGGCGGGCACCAGGGCAGGGGGTCATTATTCAATGCAGCTGGTCCTGCCATCAGCCTTGGATGGTTTGGTTGCTTCTCTGGAACTGAAACACAACAACAATGGAACAATCTGAGTCGCAGTAAGAATCCGGGTCCTGGGTCGTGGCATCATTATGTTGAAGGCAGCGGGAATGGTACTAGGTGTTTGACCGGTGGAGTCAGACCAAACCTGGGTTCAACAACCTCGGTACTTGGGTTCTGGCTAGGAAAGAATTCAGAGCCAAGAACCCAACTGTAAGAGTAAATTGGGTAAATCACAGAGGTAGAAAAAGTAATTCCTAGAAGAAGTGGGTTTAGGAACCAAGTTATAGAGGTAAAGGAAGGGCCCTTGGAGCTTGGGAGTGAGGAAGCTAATGGTAAAGTGCCTGGGGCTGGGGGTGGGGGTGGAAGAGAGAGGGAATGGAAAGGGGAAGGTGCAGGCGTGGTCCCGGGAGGGAGAGTGTGGCAAACTTTAACTTGGGGTCACTGTGCTGGGTCAGGTCCCCATGCTCCCCACTGGAAGCCGCTGGCACCCACCCCAGCCACCCATTCTGCTCCTGGCTTCTCAGGCACAAGCCACGGGGTGCTGCAGGCTATCCTTTCATACTGCCTGCTCCCCCCAGATACCACCTCCCAGCCCCTGACCACTGGAAGCCAGTCCCCTCCTTGACCTTACTATTCTTAGTTCTTTATGACTTCTAGGCCCTGCACCGTGAGGTCTTAGAGCAATGGGTGGTCCTGCCTACTATATCCCCAGTACAACTGAGGGTGCACATAGTAGGTGGCTATTTCACAGTTGATGGATGTGTGGGCGAAATAGAGCATTTCATTTTTGCTTTTTTTAAAAAAATATATTTTTATTGATTTCAGAGAGGAAGGGAGAGAGATAATAAACATCAATGATGAAAGAGAATTGATTGGTTGCCTCCTGCACTCCCCACGGTAGGGATCAAGCCTGCAACGCAGGCACGTGCCCTGACTGGGAATTGAAACGTGACCTCTTGGTTCATAGGTCGACGCTCAAACCACTGAGCCACGCCAGCTGGGCTCGTTTGTGCTTTTGAGGGTGTTGGAGAGTGTTTTCAGGTGAAGAAAACAGCGCGAGAGCAATGTGGACAGGAGGTTGTGCATGGAGATGGTCAAGGAGAGGATACCCCGTCCTTGTGGGCAGGGATGGACTTCCGTCAGGGGGAGCAGCGAAGGGGGTGTAGTGGGGAAATGGTGCCATTGACACCTGACCCCAGGCCACCATCTCCTGGGGTGTTCGTATCTCTTCTCTTGACTTAATGAGTCTGGTAATAAAACCAGTAATCTGTCAATGCTGCACTTGGGACATTTAACCCTCAAGCCAGCCTGACGAGATGCTCCTGCGGGGCTGCTAAGTGCACAGTTCCCAGCTGCACGTGACCCTCAGCTTCCAGAAGGCAGAGGAAGTACAGCACATGTTCCAGGATCACCAGGTTTGTGTGTGTGTGTGTGTGTGTGTGTGTGTGTGTGTGTGTGTGTTTGTATTAAAGGGGACTCTGACCTGTTGAACAGAAAGGAAAATTCTCTTAGCTTAGGCCAGGTGTGGGGAACGTCTGGCCCATGGGCCGAATAAAGCTCTCAAAATCATTTGGTCTGGCCCTGCCAAGGCATTAGGGGTGAGTTACTTAAATGTTTGACCAAATATAGCAGGCTAATTTTTTACTTTATTTTTTTTACGTCTTTATTGTTGAGAGTATTACAGATGTCCCCCTTTTTTCCTCCCCTTTTGCCCCCCTCCACCCGGTTCCTGCCCCAGGCCTTCACCACCCTATTGACTGTGTCCATAGGTAAGATCTTTGGTTAATCTCTTCTCACCCCCTCCTCCCCCCTTCCCTCTGAGATTCGTCAGTCTCTTCCATGCTTCCATGCCTCTGATTCTATTTTATTCACCAGTTTATTTTGCTCATTAGATTTCTTGTTCATTTACTTTGATTTTTAGATTTGATTATTGATAGATAAGTATTTGTTGCCATTTTATTGTTCATATTTATTTCCTCCTCTCCCTCCTCCCTCCTCCCCCTCCTCCTCTTCCTACTCCTCCTCTCTTCAGCATTTCACATAATACTAGTTTGGGGGTGATGAACTCCTTTAGCTTTTTGTCTCAGCCTCCTGTCACCTGAGCTGGGCACTCTAGGGCAGTGGTCACCAACCAGTGGTCCACGGTTGGTGGACCGTGAGGTCTGAAAGGTTGGCAACCGCTGCTCTAGGGTGCCTCTGTGTGGGCTGTGTGCACAGTCTTGTAGTTGAGCCTTGACTGCTGTTGGCGTCTCTGGGAGGAGTTGACCTCCAGGCCAATTGGCTGTGAGGACCAGCTGCAAAGACAGTGGGAGAGCTGCTGTGCAGGAGGCGAGGCCCAGCTGTGAGGCAAGGCAGGCTTGGCTCATGCTAATGCTGGTTGTGGGCCTTTTATTGATGGGTTTGGGGCACACTGTCACCAGCTGCAGCTTGTTTGAGAGATTTTTAGCAAAGTCTGAAGCCTGAGCCAGGACAGGACATTCATATGGAAAAGCTGCTGCAAACAGCTTGGGTGGGGCTGCTGATTGGATGGGGCAGGATTCAGGGAATCCCCAGGGCTGAGCAAACAGTGTGCTTCAGGCTGGTTGAGACTCAGATATGGCTGCCAGTCAGCCCTGCGACAGGGGAGGTCCCAGCACAGGAATGACCCCTGCTGTGAAGCAAGGCAGGCTTGGCTCATGCTAATGCTGGTTGTGGGCCTTTTATTGATGGGTTTGGGGCACACTGTCACCAGCTGCAGCTTGTTTGAGAGATTTTTAGCAAAGTCTGAAGCCTGAGCCAGGACAGGACATTCATATGGAAAAGCTGCTGCAAACAGCTTGGGTGGGGCTGCTGATTGGATGGGGCAGGATTCAGGGAATCCCCAGGGCTGAGCAAACAGTGTGCTTCAGGCTGGTTGAGACTCAGATATGGCTGCCAGTCAGCCCTGCGACAGGGGAGGTCCCAGCACAGGAACAATGACCCCTGTGAGCACCCCATCTGGGTGAGAGCCACCCCTGAGTTCCTGCCCTGATGCCAGACAGTCCAGTTCCTCCCTGTATGTGCCTGGGGAGGGCAGGGAGCAGAGATCAGCAGGAAGGAGGGAGGGGCAGGCAGGACGGACATGGAATGGCTCCTTTGGTCTCTTGGGCTTGGAACTTAGGCACAGGGTTTGCTTCCTTAGTGTCAGGGCCTTTGGCAGCGGTGAGATTTGCACGGGGTTTCTGGGTTCTTTGTGCTATTCTTTCAAGTTCTCTAAGTTTGACATGCCTGAGGGCAGAGCTGTGGCGGCCTTGAGAGCTTATTGTCTGACCCGGTGGGATGGGGGCTGAGCGTGAGTGTGGAGACTGTTAGGGGCCACAGCTGGAGGCTCAGGGCGGAGCCCTGGGTGGTAGAAGCCTAGGATTTGAGGGCTCCAGTACTGGTGGAGTCATTAGGGGCATTTGTGACACTTGGAACCAGAGTGACCGGCTTTGGAGGAGGGGTGGGCCAGGACTCAGGCCTGGGAGGGCAGGGAGCAGAGGTCAGCAGGAAGGAGGGAGGGGCAGGCAGGACATACATGGAATGGCTCTTTGGTCTCAGGCTCGGAACTTGCTGACAAGCACAGGGTCAGGGCCTTTGGCAGCGGTGAGATTTGCACGGGGTTTCTGGGTTCTTTGTGTTATTCTTTCAAGTTCTCTAAGTTTGACATTCTTACCCAGAACTCCTCACAGCAGCTTTCTGTCCGTCGTGGCAGGCACAGGGGCTGCCCAGTTAGCCGGGCCCTTCGGGTCCAGAAAGCCAGGTCCAGATGGCGATTCCTGGCCCAGCTGTGGTGTGTACGTGGGACTGTATGACACATGGCGTCTAAGCACAACCTTCCAGGCTTGGGAGAAGGTCACCAGGGTTAACCCTAATTCCCTTGGAAGCAGGAACCCAGTCGGAATCCCTCCCGCCCTGGGTGACTGAGAATGTGTGTCCGGAATCGAACCCGGGACCCCTCAGTCCGCAGGCCTGCACTCTATCCACTCAGCCAAACCGGTCAGGGCGAGTTTGACATTCTTACCCAGAACTCCTCACAGCAGCTTTCTGTCCGTCGTGGCAGGCACAGGGGCTGCCCAGTTAGCCGGGCCCTTCGGGTCCAGAAAGCCAGGTCCAGATGGCGATTCCTGGCCCAGCTGTGGTGTGTACGTGGGACTGTATGACACATGGCGTCTAAGCACAACCTTCCAGGCTTGGGAGAAGGTCACCAGGGTTAACCCTAATTCCCTTGGAAGCAGGAACCCAGTCGGAATCCCTCCCGCCCTGGGTGACTGA